ATCTTAATTGCTTACCTTGACTTTGCCATGTCATTCGTATGCCCATTGATCGGCTTCCTCGGCATGCATTATGCGCCATGGCCGCACCATGTTGGGCGAAACCGCGGGGTGGACTGTCCATGACATGGCATAAAAGCTGAAGAAACTGACTCGGAGACTTAGTCAGATTGTTGCATGCCGTCTGCTCGGATAGAGGCCTCGGAATTGTCCACACCAATGTCTGGAGACCGTATCAGACATGGTGCAGTCACGAAGTCAGTGGCATTCCTGCATTCGGTTTCTTGCATCTGGTTGTTAATTTTCATTCCATTCTGATTAGTCTAACGCATTTCTTTCTCGCTTTCATTTTCCCTGCATTCTATCCACATCCAAGCCCATTATCTTACCGCTGTTGTTTATTCGTATTCCGACGATGTGAGTGAATCATGTTATCTAGATCTACCGCACTTCCGTGCTCGGATCATAGTTGTTTAACTGAACTGAATAGTAAAGTATGGTATTAAATCACCAGTTTTTCCTTTTTTGCTCCTTTTTACGATCGTTTACGCTGATGTTTTGTTACAAGAGACGAGACTGGACTTTAACGTGTTACGATGGTTTGCGCACCTCAACAGTCCGTTTACCCATGCTGGGTGGTGCTTTTTACGTCTTCAGAGCCACTGATACCAAATTGGTCAATGGTTAGAAGTCTAACAAGCTCAGTCTCCTGGTTATCCAAGTTGCTGGTTGAAGTGAGGGTGGCTCCTTACCTCATGAAACGGACTCTCTGTGGCCCAGTGCTAAAACACTGCTGCATTTGTGGTCAGGCTTTTGAACCAAAGACTTCCGTGAAGAACCCTAATCGTTCTTTCGGCTAGACCTGGGCAACATGATAGTATCTTGCCCACGCAATATAATGAACTTCTTTTTAATGTCTTCATGCTCTGGCCGTCGCAGGTGGTAATCAACGGCGCCCTATCTGTTGCATCGAGCAGAGTGGATAGGGGCGGGGATGCTACGGTTCAGACTTTTCCATCCTTTTTTCTTCTCTCGCGTTTTTTCGTCCCATTCCAACTTCTATTTCACCCCTCTCCAGTTCTTGGGCCTCACCCAATCTTGTTTTGATAGGTATTTGTTTACTGGTTTCAACTCACGCAACCGCAGGACGTCGCTCCGGTCCAGTCGATAACTTCATGTCCAGGCAACCAGACGACTTCAGTTAATCTGAACATCTTAGAAAATACTTGGAATCGATCGAGAACTCATGATTTCAGAAAGGTTTGAAAACAACCGATTGGTACAGTTTGTGGGCAACGTTTCGCTTCTGACACAAAAGCTTCCTCAGGCCGAGTGAACCAATAGAGGATTGGTATAGCACTTATAGCGAACTGGGATGATAATCGCGACGGATGGGATGTAGGCGTTACAGGTCAACGCATCACTCCGAATAGTGTATGGAACGGTCATAAGTGGTCCGCGTTACAAGGTCATGCACGTAAGCCCTGTTAACAATGGGTGCAGGGATGGTGTGATATTCATTCTCTCCCCTGGATCCGTCCGCCGGCGCTCCTCAGACTGGTCGGGTTAACCACTCACCACACGCTCGAAAGCTCTGCCCCGTCCATTCTGTTCACACAGCTGTTCACTTTGCTAATCTCAACCGCCTCAGCAGTCAGCCTCTGGGGAGTTGATCGCAATCCCTTTCTAACGATTTTAACGTTATCCAAGTCCATCTCATGCCCTGTATCTATCGCGTGCATCGTTACTGCCGAACTCCTTAGTAGAGCCATATATTCAACCTCGTTTCTCGGTGGCCGTGTTATGCGTCTCTTGTGTTCTGCTATCCTTGTGCGTAGCTCTCTCGCGGTTTGGCCGATGTACACTTGTGCGCAGTCTTTGCAACTAATTTTGTAAACGCAATTGGTCGTCCTATCTGCAGGAAGTAGGTCTTTCAAGTGCACTAGTGTAGAGCGGAGCGTTTGACCTTTCTGGAAAATTACCCTTATGTTTTCCTTATTTAAGACCGCTCGGATGGCCTCCGAAGTTCCATCTTTATAAGGAACATTTACCGTCCCAATCCACTCGGTAGTACGCCGTGGTTGAGGATTTAAAATCCGCTGCAACTGGCGTTTCACTAACCGCCTCGGGTGTCCACTACCAAGCAATTGGTTCATTGCTTCTTTCCGGGCGGCCTTCCTATCTTCTTCCTCTGTGCACAGGGTCTGCGCTCTGTGAAACAGAGATGAGGCGATTCCAGCATACACATGCTTTGGGTGACCTGAACTATAGTGGAGTACACCATCTGTGTCCGTCGACTTACGATATATCGTTGTTTTTAGATTACCCCCATTCCTGTGAACTAAGCAGTCAAGGAATGGCAATGTTCCACTGCCAGATTCCAATTCCATAGTGAAACTTATAGTCTCCGCAAGTGTTCAAGCGGTTTAGAAACTCGTCTTTCTTATCCCGTTTTATGATAACAAAGATGTCATCCACGTAGCACCATCAAATTTTCGGTGAGCTACAAGAGTCAGTCAGCGCCCTCGTTTCAAAATCTTCCATGTATAAATTTGCCAATACAGGGGATATTGGCGATCCCATGGCAAGTCCTAGTTCCTGAGTGTATACTCTAGACTGGAACGTGAAATAAGACATGTTAAGGCACAATTTCATTCCTTCCATTATTTGATCTACCGTAATCTTCATCCTCTCTCCCAGATTACCGTCCTCAGTTAGACGATGCTTCGCTATATCCAAAGCGTCGCATATTGGCACGTTGGTAAAGAGCGAGCTAACGTCAAAACTGACCATCATTTCCTCCGGCTCAACCTCAAGATGTGATACCTTTCTCGCAAAGTCATAAGAGTTCCTTACGAACATATTCGTTTACTTTGTCAAGAGTTGCAATGTGCTAGCCAAATCTCTAGCTAGTTCATGTGTCTGGGAACCTACGCCATCTACAATAGGTCGAATGGGTACATCGGGCTTATGTATCTTCGGTAAGCCATGCACTCTTGGTGGAAGAGATGATTTCGGGTATGTGTTGTACCATTTTCCCCGTCCTAGATGCTGCTTTACGTTCCTTAAGTAATTACCAACCGCTGTCTTATTCTTATTCATCAATGACATGACGGACTTATTGTCGATAACCTTTTATGGTCCCGTCACTAGGTGCGCCTCCATTTTTTTCCGAATAATCTAACTTGTTCATTATCACGGTGATTTTGCCTTTATCGGCTTTTGTGATAACAATATTCGGATCTTATTTTAAGACAGTTAATGCGACACGTTCCTCTGGTGCAAGATTCAGCTCTCTCGGCTGCTGAAATCTGATAATGTTTACAAGTACTGCACGAATATGTTGGTAATTACTTAAGGTGCTTTTGCTAATCTCCGCCACCTCTGGCGCAGACGTGACATCACTCTCGCCCTGAATGGCAGAGTTTCCAATGCAGCCGTTTGTTCAATCCTCTTATACGGTTGTGAAACCTGGCCCATCAGGTCGACAGACAGAGGGTAGCGACGTTCGATCATTGCTGCCTCCTCAGCTTAGCTCATGTCTGGTGGGAGCACCGCCTGAGCAATGAGCGTGTTCGGCGTCACGTATTTGGTGCAGGAAGAGCGAGTGAACCGCTCAGCACCATTATGTCACGCACCAGGCTCCGATGGCTGGGCCACGTGTTGCGCATGCCAGCACACCGAGCCTCATGTCGTGCGTTGTTTGCGGGTCCGGGTTATGGACGGAAGTGGAGGAGAGGAGACCAAGCGATGACTTGGTAAAGAGAGATGGAAACCCTCACTTCGAAGCTGGCTTCGGTTGCAGTATTCCGATTGGGGTCTCAAGGACAATGAGCACGTTTGGTTGGATATACGTTTTGACATGGCGAATAGCGACTTCAGTGGGGTTTGTGTGGTGATTCTCTTTGTCCATCCCTACTCTTTAGCTTTCCATCCAACAACCATCTCATATCCAATGCATGATTTTTTGCGTTATATTACTTGTTCTTTTAGTTTTTGGCAGTCTATAATGTTTTTTATATTACGGCATATCAGCTGAGGTGGAATCTCACTCTCATCCAATGTGTATTGGTGATGATGATGGATGACTTCTCGACAAGTCGGACCGACATCTTTGCCTCAATGCTCGAATCGGCTGAGTCGACCGAAAATTGTATGACTGCCTACCTAAAATATGGGATCGTGATAGATAGCAGTTTATCACCGGTACTCCCCCTTCTGACGCTAGATGTTCTTTTTAGTTATCTAGTCGATACTGTTACATCGGATAAGAAAAGCACGGCACTTTTGTTTTCTAAGCCGGCTTTTTTCGGCTCAATTCTATTTGGAACATCCCTTATCACTTTATACAAACTCACACGGATTGACTACACTTACATCGACCTACCAGTGTCTCTCTGTTTCGAACGTCATATACGTCAACGTGCGTATTTGCAGAGCCTGACATCTGTCTTGCGCGGCACTGTCAATCGGTGATGGGATGAAAGACCATAGCTCTTGCGCGTAACTTCTTCTCTTCCTTACTGCTTGGCAACGAAGTTTAAGAGTGATCACAGTACTTACCACAATCTCACTGTCTGATTTCGTACGCGACCTGTGCTTAATGCCATTACACGGATCGTATTGTTTTGATGTTTTGTCAGAGAACAGCGGGGCTAGTTAACAAAAGTGGTAGCTCAACTTTCCCATATCGGTTGACCAGTTGAACATGTTCTGTGTTTGTGGGATATGTATAACGTTTGTCATTAGTAGAGTATATCCTTTTTGCCGTGCGCTGACACCTCTCCCGTTAACGGTTTTATACGCTTTTTAGTCCCCTGATCGAAAGAAACCAATACTAATGCATGCGAACCAAGGCGGCTTCCACCCCGCTACAGTTGTTCCACATAGGGGTTGTGATTTAAATCATCAACACACGGCATCCCCAGTTTACTTTGAGTACTGATATTGATCGTTTCATTTTGATGCTGGTCTGAAAGCTCCACTACTTTCACCCGTTTTAGCCAAACGAACGCTTGACTGTCCGAAGACCGCACGCTAACTCAAGGGCTGATTCTCCGATCATTTTTTGTACAAAATCAATGTTTGTAAACAAAATATACAAGAATAAAGCTATCTTTCCCTCACAAACACCCATTCTCTCCACTGTCTAATGGGCCTATCATGTTCGCCAGTATGTGAAGTCTGAATGCTCTGTTGCGTACATTAGTCTCTCACGTGCTCGTGGAAAGTAGACGTCGACATTTTGTAGCAGGGATTCAAATGTTAGCGACATTTTACTGCAGGGCGTCAGCGCTGTCGTCTTTCGTTCATCCAAGTCTTTTGTCCTGGTGTTGTCGATGTCACAAACAATTTCACTTCGATGGTTTACCGTAAAAATTTGGGACCCTCTCAACCCAACGGCTTTGTAGGTCAGAACATCTGACGGTCGGTTTCCAAAACCCGCAACCAGAGCAGTTGTTCCATGTGTCTGATCTTCCACCAGAGGAAATAGATCCCTGACTTGTCGAAGACACTCGATTTTGAATTCTTCCGCCTTCTTTTGGATAACCTCCCTTGCAAGATACGGAAAAGTGATACGATGGACAATGTTTTTTTACGTTGTTCAAGGCGTAGGGATATTTTACGAAATGTTTTGATGCAACACCGATTTCAAAACAATGAAACTCAAGTCTATCTCATGTCGTGTTGTAGTGACTGCGTAGTTACTTAACTCATTACTGCTTAAGTGCGCACTGTTACACCTAGTTATTTTGCCTTGGTGATTACCTCGGCACAAAACATTTCGTTACCATGAGACAAGTAAAACAACAGAAATTACTTTCAAAACAGAACTGAAAGCCACACTCATACTGTCGGTTAAAAGATCATAACATCTCTTTTATTGCAACGCGAATGCATGAATTTATCGGTACATGCCCAATTTCACAATGTCTCTAGCTTAATGTTATACAAGGCGTTAGCAGTGTGCAGGCCGGCAGCGGTTTGCAAAATGTCCGGTGTGTTTTTTCTACGCCAATAGTTTGCAGGTGTTCACCTATTCTTCGTTCACTTCCCTTTATTTATTGCGACTGTTCAACCGGTTTCCCTTTGCAAGTGAGGAGTTTTCGTTTTGAGTACCTAATCAGCTGACAGGTTGACACACCGGCCACCTTTTTCTATGCGTCTGGGCTACCCCAATAACAATAGCTAGAGCCTGACTTCAATTCACACGATAGAGTGTTGTAAGCCTAATGCGCTATTAGAGATTATCCCCTGCCCCCATCACTCCTTTCTTCTCACTGTCATTCTTCATAAACTCACATTGTAAACCGATTTTCAGTCATTTTTGTGCCGTCAAGCGTCACAAGCATGGGGTCTCATAATCCTTATCGAAACTTAGTTGCGCCAAGGTGTTATTGAAAAACGCAGATGTGGGTCGCCTGATGATCCCTAAGTCCGCATCAATGAATTTATTCGATGTTGGCTATTGTTAAGAACCAACAACATACCTACCTCAAAAATCTGCTTCGGAAATGACCAACAGTGTAATTTCTGTTTTGAAGATTGTTCTAAACCGAACATTCAGTTATGTTTACAACCTAGAAGCCCCAGCATCCGTTGTCTGACAGTTTAAGGCTTGCCTTCTTTCGCACAAACATGCCCTCTCTGGTCACATTCAAGACAGTGGACGAACAACAATGCCTGATCTTTTGCACACCCGCAGGGATCTCATACTCGACAGGTTAATCACAGCAAGTCTTTTGATTGCGTTTATAATGAACACTATCCCGGAGAACGTACTGAATGGGCCCTCATTTTTACGCGCTGTCCGCATTTATCTGGGAAACTACGAGCATTCGTGGCTTGTCGCACCCCGGAAATCACCTGGAAGCCATGTGTGATTAAGATTGGAGCACTATTTACGAGACTTACGGATCCGAATACCCTTCGAAGCCACCTATTTTTTGAAGAGCAGCACGCCAATGTTCATGGTTGTGGACTAGGTGGTATGACCTGTTCATTGGGTCTCTACCACTCCTGAAATCTGGCTTAGCGCAATTGTTACGTGCCACCTCCACAGGAAATATGGAAACGATCTTGTTCAAACCGTAGATTTCTACACAATTATGTGAGCGGTTATTGCATAGTGACACGCGTGCTTTATCCATTTGTTATGCTTGATATGAGTATGTATAACCTGTAAGAGGCGACCAGCATTGTGGCTTCAACAGTTCCCGCTCAACCAGCGAGTCGCGGGCTGTTGCTCCCTCATATGCACAGCTCTGCTAAAGCAGGTAAACTTTTTTGGAATACCAAAGCGTGTTGGATCCAGTTGTTTTGACTGACTTCGGCTGAATTTCAGTAACTGAAAATGTTGTAGAACTCAACAAGCGTACAGAGAAAGGGGTTAGAAATAAACTGGGTAAAATTAATGGGGTCGGAATATTAACGGCTGGACGCAAGAGACCGAATACGTAAGCGTCATTGACTTCGCAACCACGCCATTTCCGGTATGGGGTTTCCAACCGCAGATGGAATTTGTCCAGAGATTCCCATCCACGACTAAGTCTCAGTTTGTGTATCCCTCCCATAAGCCACTTATTGGCCACGACAGGTCGAAACCACTGATCTACCCGAATAGGTGATCGGATTTACTCAATGCTGTCTGCACAAAGAAAAGCATTACGTCACTGTGGAGGCCGGGGACATCACCCCTATTGACTAGGGAAGTAGCATTGTTGTACGTACAAATTGCCGCATCGCGGAAATATTGACGGGCTATCCGCAGAACCGCATTGTCATGACAGCGGAGCGGGAGGGTTTCACCGCGCATGTGATGGCCGGACCGAAGTGGCTGATGGGGGAACGAGTCGATCTCGCCTACCTGAACTTGCGGAGAGTACTTTGACCACTTTGAAGTTGGCATCCTGCTTTATAAGATCTAGAACTATGGTATTGGTGACCCAACTCTGATGGATAGCGTGCTTTTCCACGAATACCATTCGCACACGAGGATGAGTCTATCTTTATCCGACCCAACACAAGCCGAGTACTTTGTACCGCAGATTTCTATACTCGCGTCTCACTTGTTCTTTATTTTCACAAAAGATCTAGCAGATGTATCGCCTCGAATTCCACATATTTTACTAGTGAACGACCATGGGATCGGACGAGCACAAATTAATCCAACATCACCTCCACGAGCCTTCGAGCTGTCCGGAAGAGGCTGTGATTTAAGTCGGACAGGCGCAAATTTGGCAAGACACTCCTTGATAACAAAACTTTAAACCTCTTCCGAACGTAGATCACATCAGTGTTCTCCTATTGGGCAAACTCATTAGTTAGAAACAGTGGTAATTTCCTGTAGAAGAAACTCAGGGATTTTCGCTAGTCCGTTTTTGCCATGATCACGCCCATTCTCATATCCATCATGCTATTCCAACCAGACAACCTTGGCAGACTTGTGGCCTGACTGCACTACAGACCCCCCTCTCAACGTCGGGGAACAAAGAATAACCAAGTTCTGCACCAGCTTTCATACCAACAAAGGCTGCATATACTCGGACATATAGTGGATCCTGCGGATGGTTACTGATGGCGTATTGGCTATTGAGTAATCCCCGTCATGTAGATTGCAACCTACTGGACTTCAGCCACCACACGAGTCATAGTCCCGTTGTCCATCAAAACGAATTACATATCGTTAACTCACTGCTTCATTGCTGTTCATTATTTTGGTAACATTTTTTGTTTTTGTAGCTTTCATGTGATTATCTCGCGAGATTTCTTAGACATCGGCTCCCTTGCTCATCATCACGTATGACATTTAACGGCTTTTCAGGTTAAAGCAACTAGCATGTGCTTTAAGAGTCAGTTAAATTCGGTACAATCCGGAGAATCATTAATTAGTTGGACAAATTAGAAGCTATTCTATCAGCAGCCCATTTGAAAAATGCACTGAGTACAGGTACATTCTGGCGACCGATTAATAGATGTAAATTAAAAGCAGCTAGTTACCTTCGGAAATTTGAAATGAACGGTAAGAAGACGAAGTCTGTTAGATGCATGCATTTCGTATTGTCTCCTCAGTACCATTAACAATAACCGGTATGCAACTATATACTTAACTATGGGTGTGACCGAATAAGCATGAGGTGCAAAATGTATGACGGAAGTTCCACCCCTATGTCCACGTCAGTCTTAACCTGACACACAATTGCTTTTGAACACAGGGCCGGCTTATCGCAACGGCATCAACGAAACAGAGGAAATGGGGAATAGGGTGACGTAACACAAGTGTGAACGTTGATTCAACTTCTATCCGGTGACGCGTAGTCAGTAGATGTTTACCTCACTACACGTCACCGGAGCCCATGACTTTTCGACATTAGCAGCTTATGCCATTAGGCCACTAGTGAGGGCAGAAGATTGTCATGACTTACAAGCTAACTGCGACAGCGTGACTTATCTTCCACTGGCATGCAAGTTACGAACGTCATAGAAAGCTGGGCTGGCCCCAGAGTCACGACTTCTTTTAACGGCAGTTATGTACAACGGAATTAGGAAGCTGCTAAGACGACTGTTTGGATATCTAGATTACACTTACAATGCAGCTCTCTTGCAAGTTTATCTGGCCTCTATACATCTGGGCTGACCCTGAACGCTACACACTTGCCATACGCTTTGCACCCAAACGCAATGATTTGTTACGAGATTCGGGCTACACGCCTCCAGTTCTCTCAGTTGGGGAATAGCACCATTTGGCTATTTATCGGCTCACTTATTTAGGTTTTTCAGTCACTTTTGACGGTCAAATCAGCGGAATCCAGGGCTGGCAGCGGTAAAGTCTGTTAAAATCAAGCACCTATTCAGAAACACTGCGTTAGACTACCAGTCGTGAGCATGGGAGACAGTATTGTTCCATTGCCAAATACTATTATACGCGCTGTGCACATTAATGGATTGGTCTTTGACCATCTGTGCCTGTGTGGCATCCTACGCATCTGGTGGGACCATAAAGTGACAGCACTTGAACACACCAAGTTGCGTTCGGCGACAGCCCCTGGGTGTTGCACTGGACGGTCTGTTCAGCTGGAATCGTCTACCCTATATGCGTCAGGTTCTCCGAATCCACTGGTCGCGCATTTGGTGTGCGTCGGATTCTGACACTGCGCAATTGATGAGCCTGCCAAACACGGCACAGTCGTGGTGCCAATGGTACTTACATATGGCCTCCTGCTTTTGTTATCGGTTAAACCGCCGGCTTCTCTTCTGATGAACTTGCGTCCGTTTGTATGATTGCTTTCTCTGTCACTTTCTGTTTTTCCTCTCTTTAGCTTAACGGTGCGAGTCGTGGCAACTTTGTCCATCATGCTTCGGTGCTAAAATCATGATTGACTAACTGGAATAAATTGTGGCGTGCACCGCGCGTTTCTTCCCCGTTACGATCGCTGTTAGCTGAAAGACGAGGGACCGCTATCCAGTGTCCCGGTATTTCCGGGTTACAATGAACAGAATGTGTAACCATTAGATAGAATATCGCTCCATTCATACTACGCTTTACCTCAATACT